CATAGCAGGGTAGCGCAGGAGTGGGAAAAGGTACCTAATAAAAGAGTCTATAGAAGATGGAAAGCAGATGGAAAGGGTCAGGGACACAATGAAGATGGTGAGATGATGAAGATGAGGAAGATAAGACAATGAGATGCGGATGACTTGCCCCAATACTGTACGAACCGCAACCCTCATCTGAATGATAAGACAGTTCGACCCTAACCCGATCCTTTCCGCTAGCTTTAAAATTGGCTCCAATGGTGACCCCAAGACATGAACTACCCTGAACCCTGACAATAGCTACTCTAAGAGTTTTCTTGATGCAAGCTCTGGGATTCTGTAAGACTTAGCACCAAGAGGGTCCTGGCATCAAGAAGAGTAGGGAGTCTGCTTCTAAGCTTACCATGAAAGTAGTCCGAAGATCACCCACAAGGTAACTTTCAGGTTTACTCGAATAGCAACCGTAATGTCAACCTAGGTCACTGTTCCCAGTTCAATATTTGCAGTCCTTGAACAGGGCCCAGCTTGGGTCGTCTTCACCTATTGAATAATGGGGGGATAAGGCTGAGGAATGGTGAGCGTTCATGCGTATATGGACGTGACATGATATGCTAGGCAGCTCCCAACGACTTTCTTATGGAGCCTTGTGCATTCTTCGGGGTTCTCATGAGTCCTAAGCTGGAGTGACAGGCGCCCCAGGGCCCGTGCTCCGTCTTAAGGGACAAAGTCAACAAAGACGGTAGCCCTAATAATATCGTCGCCCATGCCCGGTTGAAAACGACTCTTACGAGTACTATGGTACTGCGAGGGCACAAATCAACGCCTGAACCCTGAACTCGTTAAATCGACCTGGTGCGAGTGTGAGCGAAACGCCAAGCCTTTTGTGGAGCCATTTTGGCTTTTGCCGAATCAAGCTCCGCTCTTCTGGGACGGCCGAACGCTGCAAGGAGGGCAAAGGCGGGCTGAGGGGTAAAGGATTTGGGCTAGGGATTGTAAAAGTATCGCAGTATATAATAGGGTTCATAGAACCTTGAGTGGTTGAACTCTTGGCTGTAGCCTCTTGCCAAAGCTTGCCGCAGACGAGTAGAGTTTCTTCGTTAGAAGCCTAAGTTTGAACAATCAGCTGGCGAGTGTCACGAGTGGAACAGCCAGAGCGAGTGGAACGAGTGGAACAGTTGGATTAGCGCCACACTTTCTCGCTCTCTCTCTCTCTCTCTCTATCTCTCTCTCTCTCTCTCTCTATATGTGTATATATATATATAAATAGATGTATGTACGTGTGTATGTGTATATATATATGTACATATATATATGCAATATATACATATATATAATGTGAGAAGAAGCAGGCCATATGACACAATAGAATAGCATGCACCAGCACAGCATATCAAAACATAGAACCATCGAGGCGGATAAATCAGCAGAATATAGACAACATAATGTAACACAATGCAGTAGGGCAGTGGAATTGAGCAAGAGGCTGCAACGTAATATACTGCAATGTACCAGTAGGTTCATGTAAGGTAAAGTAGCGGAAAGTACTGCAACACAGAGTCAAAACATGATAATTGATACACCAGAATACAACACGTTACATTTTTGTGCCTTGCAAATAAGCAGCATACAAAGAGATACCTCGACTATATGGTGCAGTGCAACATAACAGAATGCCATGCATCACAACATAGCACGATATGAGATATTGTAGCACATCAAAATGTCAGGCTATTGTAGCATATTCTAGGATAGACTCGAAGATAATACGTAAAGTAATGAAACATAAATACAATTAAATATAACATAATGTGAAAGAGAGGTCTCACATTGTTATAGAACATCACACAGACAAAACGTATCATAGCATACTATGTTACACGATGGTACCAAACGAAATACCATGGTATAGTACACCATGGCATGGGACAGCACATTATCGTATAATGTTGTTTTAAGTTATATGAACGGAAAACGATACAGCATTATCATGTAACATTTTATGGCATTATACTACATACAAAAGCAGTATCATATCGTGTCTTAGCATATACGCCAAAAATGTCACGCTACGTGATGTCACACCGTGTCATGCCATGTCAGTCCAACAAGCCGTGCTTTCGATGAGAGTCCTGGCAAGGAGCTTCGAAGATCTTCGATTGGTCAGGCATGGATCCCGAGGCCAAACCTCAGAAGTGGGCAGTGCTCATTTTCAACAGCGGGAAGATAGCCGTATGATCGACCGCTTAAACACGAAGTGCCGATGCTTGAGGCAGCAGGACATGATGTTGTATACATACCTACACATATGTACATGTAGATGCAGTGCCCGGCTTGGCCTACGCCCTGCTCCCCAACCAACTGCCCATGGTCTCCTGATTCAATCACCCTGTCTTTCTGTGGAACGACGCGGCTCCTCCCTCACACGGGGTTGAAAAGGGCACAGGGCGCTGGAATTTGTCAACAACCAACAATACTCCAGGATAGGCTGTAAATAACTTATACTATAGTATACCCTTATGGTCCTTATATAATTATGGTATAACGTATCCTTATAGCCCTCATATAGTTATGCTAGAATATACAACAGACCCCATTATTCAGGCCTCTTGGGTGCTCCAAGGCTGTGAGGGGGGTTCAAAGGGTACTTAAGCAGGCTGTTTGTGCATATATACATATATACACTCATGTATGTATATATGTATGTATGTATGTACGTATGTATGTATGTATGTATGTAAGTATGTAAGGTTGTATGTGTGCATGCATGCATGCATGTCTGTTTGTCTGTCTGTCTGTCTGTCTGTCTGTATGTATGTATGTATGTATGTATGTATACATGTATGTATGTATGTATGTAGGTAGGTAGGTAGGTAGGTAGGTAAGTATGTATGTGTGTATGTGCGTACGCATGTTGGTAATGTATGTATGTATGTATGTATGTATGTATGTATGTATATATGTATGTATGTTTGTTTGTTTGTACGTATGTATGTATGTGTTTATGCATGTTTGCTTGTTTGTATGTGTTGATGTATGCATGTATGTTTGTGTGTGTGTTGATGTATGCATGTTTGTTTGTTTGTTTGTTTGTTTGTTTGTATATGTGTGTGTATGTATGCATGCATGCATGCATGGATGGATGTATGTATGTATGTAGGAATGTATGTATGCTTGATTATGTATGTTTGATTATGTACTATGTATGTATGTATGTATGTATGTATGTATGTATGTATGTACTTATGTATGTACGTATGTATGTATTTGTGTATGTACGTATGTATGTATGCATGTAAGTAAGTATGTAATGCATGTTTGTAAAGAAAAATCAACCTGTCATCACACCGTTATCGCTGCATACCTTCCTGCGTGTCATGCTGCCGGGGATGTCAAGATATAAAGAAGCGAGGATGTTGTGCGTGGCATTATTGCCGTTGAAATTAGCCAGAGTACTTATTAGGACCTTGAAGCCTTGGCCCATTTCCAGACATCATGGAATTGGTACAGGTGCGACTTTCCAGCCGGGGTTGAACCTTGATCAGCGATCACCATACATGTAATCAAATGGACGCGAAGTGAGTAGATAAGACACGAAAACTAGCACTGTTCTTGGAGATACACTAGCTTACCAAGGCGCAACGAGCTAGGATTCCAGAAACTTCACTATACCTTAACTTCCAAAACTTCGACACTACGCCCAAAGCCCGGTTGTACACCCCAAGAGCCAGGCCTTCGCCGACGACCTCCGGTCCCTGGCCTCGAAGCACCAGCGCCAGCGCCGGGCTCAGGGACCGTAGCACCTGATATTAGATGATACAGTGACGCCATTTGTGTCGAGAGAGTTTAGAGTTTCGAAGGGGAATCTAATGTGAAAGAGACACCTGTAGAGAGGAATGTTCAGGATGTAGAGGACTGGTGTGTTTTCAGATGAGCTGATTTCACTGCTTGCACTGTTGCTAAATTCCAAAACCATAAACCGCGTTCTGTGAGCAAATCAGGGAATCGACTGCGTCGGTGCAAGCGACGGCTCGGCACGAAAAGGAGCATGGCTTTCGCACCAGCGTCAACCAACCCAAAGCTTTGAAGCGACGTTTAGACGACGCAAGGGAAGTCAAGCCGTGTTTTTTAACTTGATGTGTTTTCCAATTGCACTCGTTGTACGTCAGAGAGAGAGAGAGAGAGAGAGTAGTTTTGGAGCGTTTGCCACGCGACAAAACAGTTGCATTCAACTTTACAGCGACGGCATTCCAAAGAAGCAATGGTGTATAAATTCTAAGGCAGAGAGAGTCGGAACATGATGCTACATCGTGACCTTGCATTGAGTGTCCGGGCAAAGTGCGAGTGCGAAAGCCATGGGCATGCGAGCTTGTGCTGGTATTGCATTCCTTCTCGAGGTAGATCACCAGTAGGACCTGTGCTACATTCCTTGAAATTAGCTATTGCGGTTGCAATGTGAACCGGCTTGAGGAATGTTGCATGGCAGCATGTATGTTCGCGCACCAGTCACTGCGAAGCGGTGTTGTGAAACTATGTTCCCAAACCCCAAACCCCGACATTATCGCGTTGTAAGTCAATCCTGCCAGGCTCTTGGAGCTCGCGACCTCTCAGAGTGATGCCCTGCTAGCCGTGGTTCAAGCTTATGCTGGAGGCTCCTTATCTGACTGCCGCAGAAGCCGCAAGCCTTCAATTCAGGCTTCGCCAAAGGCGTTGGTTGGGTTTCTGGATCATGCTCTGTTCGAGGGATCGCCACAATCCTGACACTTTCATCATGGCTCAAGCCGGATTGTGCGACGCAGTCAGTCATTCTTCGCACTCTTTACACTCAACTCCCGTACGAAGTTGGCATGGCACGTCTTCTCGTTGCCTCGTCAAGAAAGGCTTAGTATTAAGTGCTAGCTGCAAACAGTTTAGGGCGTACAGTGTTTATTGGCAGTAGCTTCAAATCCAGCTTCTTCTCATCTGTTTCACCCAATTAGGCTCCCGTCGGGGAGGACGCAGGAGGCGGACCGCATTCGCAGATGCAACGAAGCGATGCCGCCAGGAAAACCAGCAGCGAGTCTGGAAATTCTTCTTCTTCGCGGCGGAGCCTGTCGTCTTTGTCGCCTGAGGAGCGAGAGTTGACCAACGAGTTGAGGTCACGGCAGCTCTCACTGGCGGGCTTGCATAGCGGCAGCACAAGCAGCAGCGGGTCGGAGCCCCGAGACAAGCTGCAAGCTGCCGAGGCGGCGGAGCGAGCAGCGGAAGCGGCGAGATCCTCCCATGCCGCTGCAAGAAAGGGATACTCGGACCAGAAGACCCAATCTCAAGGCAGTAGCAGCAACAGCCAGGCACAGCGCAAGAGTCAGAGCGAGCATGTCAACACAGACGGCTCAACTTCTGAAACTGGTGGAGATCCTCGAAATAGTCAGCTTGTTAGCGACTTGCTAGCCAAAGTTCGAGCTCTTGAAGCTGCCTTGCTGGACCGAGATGCGCAAGCTGCAAAGATGATACTGGACTGCACAAACATCGACAGCCTTAATCAAGAACGGCTGCTGGACATCCAGGAAAAACTGGCGGCTGCTGTCGGTGCCAGGAAGGCGGCGGAAGACGAGCGGGATGAAATGGAAGTGAAGGCTGCCGGCGACAAGGCGAAGAACGCATCCTCCTTGTCTGCTGCGCAAGCAGAACAGCATAGGATCCGAGAGATGCATCAGAGAACCGAAGCGAAATCTGAAGAGATTAACAAAGAACTCCAAACAGCTCGGGAGGATCTCCGCCATTCGAAGCAGCGTGCAGAAATTGACAGCCACCACGAGGCAAAGGCGCAAGAGCTCAGCAATAGTCGCATTGACGCGTTGGAGGCTCTCTTGCAGAAGGCGAATGATCAGCTTGCGCTGCTTCGGCGCCAAAAATCCAGCGGCTCAGGCACTTCAAGCGAGCGTGAGGCGGCCCTGCAAACCCAAATTGATGATCTCATAGCGGAGAGGACGAGAAATCGCCAAGACATGAGCGAAGCGCGCTTGGAGCTTCTCGGACTCAAGAAGAGGCAGGCTCTCTCTGCATTGGACGAACGCCCTGAACCGCAGCCCCGCCGCGGAGCAGGCAGGTCACGAGGAGGTCGAGGACGAGGAATGCTGGAGATTATCGACGAGGACGGGGGCTTTCCATCAGATTTTAGAGTTTCCGTATCTATCGCACTGTCTTAGCAGTATGTAGGTTCTATACATATTATGTAAATAGGGTGGCCCTTGCTGCCAGGAGGAAGACGGTGCCGAGTCACTGCCTGCACCTGGGGATGAGTCGGCTGCCAGCGAGGGCGCGAGCAGCGACTGTGGAGACCTGGACAGCATCACGAATCCGGACCAATCCGCCCAGAGCGAGCTGTTGAACAAGCTGCTGTCTGAGTTGGCTTCGGAGCGGAGGGCGCAGCAAACCATGCGAGATGACCACGCTGGCGAGCATGCCGAGCAGAAAGAGCAGATAGCTCAGCTGAGACGGCAACTCCTAGACGCAGGACTTCTACAGGAATCGACCGCGGCGGAAAATTCTCGGTTGCTCAAGGTGGGGCACCAGGATAAGATCAAGCAGCTTCAGCAAGTTGACGACTTGCAAGTGAAAGTTAGAGAGTTGGAGGACACACTGCGAGGTCAGTTTCTAGAAATGAAGGTTCAGACTGACAAGGAGGAGGCACAAGAGCTTCTCAACACAGGTTTGCAGGAGAAAGTACAGATGCAAACCGAGTCGCTTCGAATCGCTAGCTTGCGACTGCAAGATTCTCTACAGCAGCATCAGCGGGAGGCAATGCGCCAACTGCAGGAAGTGAACGCCTTGAAGCTGCAGCTGTCGCTGGAACGCAAGCGACATGCGAGTCGTGGATCGGAGTCGCTGCAAGATGACGGAGATGAGCAACCAGAGGCGGCACTTTGTCAGCGAGTGAAGGAACTTGAGGTAGAGCGCAACCTGCTGCTTAGCAAAATAGAGGTTCAGGAGGTGCACCACCAGGTGCAGCTGGAGGATGCATACCGTGACCATGCTTCCAGACTACAAGAACAGCGAACGAAATTCGAGGAGCAGATCGCAGAGATTCGTTCTCGATATGAGCAGGTGATCCGGCAGCAACCGGTTCAAGTCGCTCCAGAGGAGTTCCTTCTCCGAGATCCGGACCTAAGTTCCTTGAGGTCCCCTGCAAGGCCAGCTTATGGCGTAGAGGAGGATCCCGCAGCAAAGAGCACCATCGGAGTTGCCAGTGATGTCAGCACGCCGGCATCGCAGAGCACAGGCGGCACAGGCGGCACTTCCATCTCAGAGCAGGTCCGCGGCATGGTGTGGGCTGTGTTGGGGTTGATTCCTGATGCTGTGGCGCTTCAGTGCTCCTTTGAAGACCTGGCCATCCAGAAGGCTACCGCCAGAGCAGGTGCCATCTTCAGCGGTCTGGACCTGATTGGCACGTCCTTTTTCTCCTTGCTGCGTGAGAAGAGCAATGCCGCAGTGGTGAGGAGAATGATGCTTGTGAACCAATCCATGGCAGACAGCAGTCAGTCTGAGATCCCTTCCTTCATCTCCAAGACACTTGGCAGATTTGGGTTGCTTGGAATGGCTGGGCAGGTCCTGGATGTAGTCTTATCTATGGCTCATTTACCCGCTGAATCTGCGAGTGCTTCTGGACCGGATGGTCGCCGCGTCATCGTGGTCATCTCTGAGCAACAACAAAAGCGTCGCGGCGAAGTCTCTGTAGCCAGCAGCGATGTTTGCCCCAGCGACAGCGTGAGTGTAGGCAAACGTCGGCCTCCCTTCGGCGGCTCCCTACAGAGAGCCAGCCTGAGGGCCTCTTTCTTTAAGGCGGACTCAAGGATCTCCTCTGCCTCCTCCGAGCATGCCTCCCCGCGAAACTCGCTGGCCGCTGACTGAGATGCCCTTTGGTACGTTTGTCATGCTTGTTTATTATTGAATGTCTCTGACACCAAAAAGTCAGAGCTAGCCGCTAGCCAGGCCGAAGTACTTCGCCCGGCTTGACTGTGAGCTCCGAAGCAGTCAGAGCTTGTTCCCCTGACACTTGTCATTCTTTGTTCCAAAAGTTCCAGCTGAGTCTGGGTTGCTGGACAGACCGCAGCTCAAGAAGGTGCCCCAAGTGCACAGCAGCTCAATCCTCATGTTTGGATTGTTGCTACGACGTTTTGCACTCTGCATGGAGGACGGAATAAAATTGTCTCAGTGGTGCGACTCCCTGCTGACCGCGAGACCTGAGCTGGCTGCGTGTGAGTGCATCCTGAAGCCAAAGAATATCTGCCAAAGAATATCTGTAAAATTAATATATATATATATACATATACATATACATATACATATACATATATATATATACATATACATACATATATATATATATAGATTTTTTTATATGTATATGTATGTATGTATACATATATATATATATATCTGCATATACACACATAGACGCCCCGGAGAGTCGTCTTGGACAGGCGTGCCAGACAATGCAGATGCGGCAAAGAGGTTGGAGGTGGGTGGAAACACATACCGAGAGCCGCACATCGTACATCCGGCGGTCCATGTGCTCTTAGTTCGCCGGGCACACAAACATGTAAAGACAAAAGAGTGGTCCATCACGTGCCCGTGGAAATCTTCAAGTCTTCTGGATTTTTTGGGGTTCCCTACAGGGTTTTTCAGACCTGACCTTTGGGGATTCAGAGCTCACGGGGGTCCGACGAATGTTTGCACACTTCAGAGGTGCAGGAGGCCCCGCTGCTTGGCGTTGAGCGTCATGTTTGGTGAATGCCATCATGTGCCGACTTTGTGAATGAGCGTGCTGAGTTCGTTGGCCTCTTCCGACGGGAAAACCTGGAGCGCAAGGCAAACATGTAAGGACATGTCGGTTGAGTGTTTGTAGGCTTCCTTTAACTTGGGCTTCAAAGTGCTCATCAATGCGCCAAGCATTCCCGAGCCGGTGCTTACGACTGAGACTCGGTTTAGCAATGCTCAGCTTTTGTTTGGCCGCCTTGAAGTGCAAGAGCTGCACCGACGACGCTCCCGAAAGGCCACTCATCGCAGCCTCGTTCCAGAGGAGCCGTCGGATCCGCATTGCACTCTTGGACCCCACCTTATGTATGTTTTCCTGCAAAAGCTGAGAATAAATTGGCTTGTGCCTTGTGTTTGAGACCCGCCCTATAAACTCGAAGCCGAAACCCTACACTAGGGTGTAGTGTAGGGTTTGTACATCTGATCTGCCATTACTGAGAAGGAGTTCAAAGACTAATCCGGGCCAGCTGAGCAGTTATTAGGATACGTCATGCTTTGTGACGACATCTCATCTCGTGGAGGATGCTTGGGGTGTTTCGCCAGTAAGTAGTGAAGAGTCTTGCGACTATACGTGGCACTTCCGTTTAACTTGATACACAACGCAGTTTGCTGTATTGGGCACTGCAGTTGGCAATGGCCTAGTTCAACGTCGACTTTGATGCCGAGGCAAAGTGGACCGTTAGTCCAGCTTCAAACTCTATTTGTGACCATATTCCATGTTAGACTAGACTAGACCAGACTAGACCAGACTATAATGTAACAGGAGGCAGCACAATAGAAAAGAGCGTGTACTATACTATGCTAATGCTCTACCATGCTATACTTTATTTTGCTATGCTATAGTATACTTTGCCTGTTGGGGGCATGCGATTGTGCAGCTGATTGGTTTGGGTTTAGGGCTTAGGGTTTAGGGTCCCCTCGGGCTAGGGCTTACGGCGTAGAGTTTTGGGTTTAGGGCGTTTTTGTTCAGGTGTCTCCGAATCTGAGTGTCAGATCTGTGCTTTGGCGCCTTGGCATACCTGGCAACAAGAAAACCCCCACCATGAATCTCGTCAGGCGAGTTCAAGTGTGAGAGGGCGAAGCCTGTTTAAGTCAGCAGTGGGTTTTTGCTCGCGGCGCTAAGCTCCAGACTAGGCGGGGCTTGTAGGGTTATTATGGTGAGTAGGACTAACCAGGACCTTGCAAGGCCAAAACCCGCCGCCAGCCTTGCCGTCGATAGCATTGATCAGGTTTGAGGTTCTTATAAGCCCTGCCTGGACCATAAACTCCCCTACACCCTCGTTCCGAGTGCTCTTCCAGGACCTGCTGTCCGAGAAGTCACCCGCGGCCAGTGCCGCAGAACGGCGCAAATTACGCTTGTCGGGTGGGGTCGCAGCTCACAGTATAGTTCTCTTCGTGGAAGGGATCCTGTTGCTGGTGCCCATCTCGGAGGGCTGAAGAGTTGATGGCTCAATGGGATATAGTCATGAGTCACTCATTAGTCCTTGCTTGATGTCCTCAGAGGTGCCGAGCGTCGGGTGAAGGAGGAGCCGAGCCAAAGATTCCCGGGGAGGGTTTGGGGCGCTTGGTTTACTTTGTAGCGCAGCCGGAGATCTACGCAATTTCCGTATCATCCGTTCCGAGACATCGGGTGAGAACCTTAACCGAGCATTGCCGCAAGCGCCGTCCCAGCTCTTGCAACAAAATGGTTACGTTTGTGTCGATGTCGTTCCGGCAGGTCCGCAGCACGTGGTGCAAAGAACCCGGGGAAGACGACGACGATAGACTATGATTGTGACGACGATCATTATCTCTCCGACGATGACTATCTCTTGTCACAAGTAATTGGTCTCTAGCAGCAGCAACGGCAGGGACAAGGAGCAGAGGAAGAGAGTGTGGGGTGATTGGGTCGGTCATTCGCCTTCAAGATATATAAGCATGTCTAAGCCGCCGAGGGCGATACTCTAACTTCCGAATCGCGAGCTGCCTTGGCCGGGGACTCAGGGGGAGGACTTCGGATCTCACAACCTGCGGCTTTCAGAGTTGCACCCACAGACTTATGGGATCATAACCTACCCGTCGACGTGCTATTTGGTTATTTTTGTTGCAGGGTTTCGAAGAGCTGCAAAGGGTGAGGCTTCAGGATTGTTTACGGGTTGAAGATATGTTGGCAATGGGCTCCTGGCTTGTAATTTGTGCACGTGTAAGTTGCATCTTTTGTGCATGGTACCGTGGCACAGTGCTGAAGAGCTTTCGGGTTTCAGGCTTGATGGGGTCTTCTGGAACACCCCAAAATAGGCTCCTCTTGGTAAGGAATTCCAGCTGTACGCAGCCGGAAAAGAGCCCTTAACAAAAGAAACGTTCAACCTTAAATTTAGTTGCCTGCGTGAGCGAGTGTGTGAGTCGAAATTCACTAAATTTAGAAGTACTTAGAAGGCTCTAGTGAAGCCCTGGGCCGCCAGGAGGCACCAGCTTAGCGCCATCAGGGTTTGTTGTTTTTTTGGTCCTCGTGTCTTCAGACAAGTGGTTCATCCGGCCTGGATCTAGAACAGGGGAGGGTGGAACCCGTGTAATGTTGGCCGTTTTCGTCGGCTACGAAACCTTTAGGCCCTACCAGCTTCAAAAGAAGACACACATCCCACAGCCCTTCCTCCATGCCAGTCGGAGTACCCCTATGCGATGGCCAGTAGGGCATATAGCTCACTGGAAGTAGCGCCGGGCAAGAGGAGCAGTTCGCACACAGACTGAATGCCAAGTAGTGATTCTGAGACCAGAGATGTCATGTTGCGTCACCAGACCACCTGAGTCTATAAGAGCTGCGATAGCAGTAGTTGGAACGTTCAGAAAGTTTGAACTGAACTGGCTGTGACAAGAATTTGCCACCCACCTGCCGCATGGACCTGGGCAGTTAGGATCCGAAGCAAAAAACCGGACATTAGAGGCATGCCCTAACCCCCCAGGTACATACTATATAGGGTACTAGAGCCCCTAGGGCCCTATATAGTAGGTACCTGGGGGGTTAGGGCATGTCTCCAAATCTGTGGCCAGACATTCGCATGCAGGCCATTCCCACAAATCTCGTGCTTCGCCTCCTGCGGCATAAGCTACAGCTACATTTGCCGAAAGCTTCGGGATTCTCCGCAGAGTCGGCGTGAAACCCCCAAGTCCCGCACAACTTGCAAGAGAGCACCGGAACGGGAGACGATTTGCCCTAATTATCACGATTCCCCTTGTAGCACCAGGTGTTGCCACTCGATGGCGGCGTGCCTTCCGGCCATGTGACCCGTTTGACTGAAAGGGTTCTCGTTATATGAAGGTTCTCCCTAGTCGTGAAGATGGCGGTTTCGCATGTAGGCTGGATGCCTTCCTCCAGCCACAATAAATGTTAAAGGTTCCCCCGGTACGCATTACGATTCCTGCCATAAACACCGGCCGGATGCTGCCGGCTTGCCTTCGACGGCATGGCATGGTCCAGACATGTTCCTTTTAGAAGTAGGCGTAGGAACGCGCAAAGTGTGCAGTCCGCATGCTCCAGTTGTCGGTCTGCCTGCCTGCGGGTATCTATCTGCCTATCTGTTTGTTTGTTTGTCTGTCTGTCTGTCTGTCTGTCTGTCGACAGTCGCATATATCCCTGGACACTGCAACTCCAAAGCCTCGGAACCCAAGTCCCTCAAACCCTACAGTCTTGAACCCTAAACCGTGCAAGTGTGAGAGTCGAAACCGTAAACCATATTATTATGTGTATATATATACACACACACATATATATATATATAATATCCCAAATATTATGCGTATGTTCAATATATATATATATGTATATAGAGATATGCCAAACGTTGCTGAAACACCTACAAAAAAGCCTAAAGCGTCCCTCCCAAGGCTCTGTTTAAGTCCACTGAGGCCTTTCCGACCCTTTCGGAGCTTGACGGCCCACATCCTATCCTGAAGCCTGCCGTCACCTGGCCCCAACCGTAAACCACGGCCTTCGGAGTATTCATGTTCAAGCTTCAGAGCACTAGCAGAGAAAATCAAAGCACTATTCCATGCTAGTAGTAAGATAATATGTACAGCGTTAGTACTGGTCGTAATCACAAGAAAGATCTGAGTAAGAG